ATTAGTGCACATTTATTTATGATAGAAAACCATACATGTATTTAGTATCTTTATTCTCATTCATGGAATTTTCAATTAAGCAGTATGGATAATATTTAACACTTAAGAGTGACACAATAAAATAGTAATTGAAATAATATAAAATATAATACGTGAAATATTATCTTGATATAGAAAATCTTTTAGCCTGAAACATCATCCGGAAGAAATACGTCAGAACTACGGTTGATATATCTAATAATTCTTGGTAACAATAAAAGTTCCCCAGTAATTTTACATACACCGTGTCACAATTTGTACTTAAAGTGAAATCAATGATGAGGGTATCTGTCAACACCGTGATTGTGATCAGAGTCCGTTTTGGTCAAGACAAGAATCCGAAGTTTATAAAGAAATTATTTTAACTTTAGGAATTTGATTGGTCAGAAACTGCAATAAGATTTACAAGACTCGAACTTGATTTTCACAGAGATTGTTAACCAAGCAATAATCATGTAAGAGCTAAAATGATTGAATAGGAACAAGTTAGCCGATTGAATAGATTTTTTAGTAGAATAAGTTTTTTATTTAAGTCATACACCGCTTGTTGATTAAATGCATATTTGAGGTTTGGACAATGTTTATTTTATTTAACAATGAACACCTTTATGTCTTTTTCTTTTAAGGTACACTTTTATAAATAGAGTAATTCATTACTACCTTAATTATCACTCCAGAATAGAATAACAGTCATTGATTAGTTTTCGGTGCCTATACCACTTGACAATTTGTGATCTGAGTGATGCATAAACCGATACAAAAATGGTTCTATTTAAGAGTTTCTTTCATAACTGTCTTAACATTCCAAGTGTAGAGCCTGCTCATTTTTGTCAAAAACTTATACTTTAAATGTTTGGGAGCAAAAATCAGTATTTGTTTCATAAAGGGAAACTGCGTATTTGGACAATAAGAAATTCATGTTCTTTCACTTAAGTAAAGGAATTAATTTATCCAAAACAAAATTAATCTTTCTATGTAAGGGTTACAATATACATTAATGAGCGGACCTCACATTATCCCATAAAAACAATAATTATGGAGTTTTTTTTTTTTTTTTTTTTTTTTTAGGAAAATAAATCCTGACCATTGAATTTCAACCCCACGTAAAATAACAAAAAGGTTTCCTTCAAGTTTATTAGTTTGACATATTTGCTTTTTGATATACCATAACAGAAACGAACGTTGTTAGCAATAACGGTCTGTTTGTGTATGTTTCTTAAACACTTTGAAATGTCATTTTACTGACATTAACTTGCTTAATATCTAGATAATATGCACACTTCTAACAATTTATCTTCCAAAGAGAATCATGACACTAAAAATAGACTTAAAATTGTTTTGAAATTAGGTACACAATTTTCTTTTATCATGATGAATTTAAGTAAATTTGTTGATCAAATGTAATGTTTTGTGCTAACTGTCATTGTGTTTCAGAAATATACATTTTCCAGGATCAAATAATTGTGAAAAGCACGTTCTTGGTATATTAAATTTTGGAATTGAATTAATCAGTTGTCAATGACGCGGTAGATATATCATTAAAGGATATATTTTTATATGTAACACGCCTATATGACCCAACATTTATTTGGCTAGGCACATACTATCGATTTTTGTATATATAAGGAATATCATGGTGTTTTTCGATGAATAAATACTTCATTCAGGATGGATTTATCTGAAATTATTTTCTTATCTGAAAATAATTGCTTATTGGTAGCCAAAGGTTTCATTGTAAGAAACTTTTGGCTCGGGAAATATAGTGTCTCTGTAAACAATTTTGTCTCTTCGATTGTAACTTGACAACATGACTATTTTATCTATTCATGTATAAAAAGAGCATCGAAACACTATGCTATTTGATTTGTACAAGGGGGTATAGTCCCCAAATATAAATCAGATTGCAGATAGTATTGATGATTTTTCATTTGTGTGTCATAGGCAAAAATAAAAACACTTGCCCTGTCGCCACAATATAAAACCCTAGAAAAAGTAACTATTGTACGAGCATTTTAATAAGATATCAAAGCCCCCCCCCCCCACCTCCGAGTATTAATCAGAATGCCGAGTGTTTTGATGTTCTTTCTCTTTTGTTTCAAAGTCAAACATAAAAACACATTATCTCTTGACACAATATGAAACCCCAGAAAAAAGTAACCAATGAACGAGAATCAGAATAATTATGGTATTTCTGTCGCTTTTTCTTTCTCTGCCGTCACAATAAACAAACCCCAGCAAAACTGAGCCCATCAATGCACATGCTCTGGAGTGCGGGTTACAAATACATGCAGTCCAGTAAACTTACTGTGCATGTATATGTATACAATTTAACTCTTACACATTTTCAACAGAAAGGTCCCCAAACTATGATACAAACGTTTGTTACACGTAGTATTAATAAAAAATACACGACTCAGTGCGTATATATATATATAACTTGTTCTCGATTATTTATCATCCAATCATTTAAATCTATTTAAACACGTATAGTTATATCCCGATGTTGTGCCCGGTGCATACATTTGTCATTTAATGAAAATGCACTGATGTTCGTGTTTGGTAAATAATTCTTTCATTTAGGAATGGATTTACAAACTTCTATGGATAGTAGTTTCTAAATCCATTCATATATGAAAGAATTATTAACCAAACACAAACACGCCATAACTGTGTTCAGTATTACAAATTGTCACGCGCAAGCATCAGGTCCCTAGCACAAATGTCAAGAGCAAACTTGTAGATTCAAGGCCAGAAATGATGTTTTATAAAAATGCACTGAAATTTGTGCCTGATGAACAGTTCTACCATTCCTTGGATTTATCAAATGATATGCATAAACGTATTGAACATAATTACAACTTGTCGTGCACTATGATTCAGTTCAGTGTGGCACTTGTATTCCAAAGACATAAAATGATATTTTTCATAACACTGCACCATTACTAACAGTCAAAGGTCAAGGTCACACGTATATAAACTATTTTATGTTCATGATTTATCGTTTTTTTATCGTGTCTGGTCAACAATTCTGTCATTCCTGGATGAGTTTTAATAAACGTTTGGAATAAAAGTGTACAAAATGTAAGACATGATGATGAAGTGTCATCATAGGGGTCAGATTTCCAGTTCAAAGTCAAGGTCACAATTGTATATTTTTAATAGATTTTCTTCCTTTGTGCTTAGCTTTATCATTCATGGATTGACTTTGAAATTAATATACATATATGGATGACATGACAGTGTTTTGTGAATGTGATATGATATTACATTGATTAAAGATTGATTTCAATTCTAAATATTAAACACTAATAAAATTACAACTATGCATGTTTAGTTTTGTTATATTAAAAAAACAAACAAAGTAAACGTAAGATTTATTTCCATATATCTGATAAGTGAAATATATGAATCAATAACAATACAATAATTGGTTTATACAAAGATCCACATGGTCAATATAGTTGATGAAATTATACATAAATATTATATACAGTCTACTCTTTCAATAATATGTAAGGGAAATAAACTACAATAAAGAAAAAAGCAAGTTTATTGTCGTGTTACCTCCCATTAGTCGTGTAACTATCGTTCAATTTACAAGTCTTAATCTTTTTTTCGTAATTCAGTAAAGTTATTTAACAGAGGACATCTGTTGATACCAATGGAAATGAAAAATATAATGCAGATCCTGTGCGAATCTCGAATGACCGTCTTACAACGACTTGAATATGTTGGCATTGAAGTTTTAATGATCTGTAAAAGTGAACAAAAATGTTTTGTAAATTATGTATTTACTTCATTTTTGAGGTCACCAATAAAGTAAAGATCATACGGCATCTTTAGAAGAAAAAAGTCGGGTGTCCCTCCGTGCATTATTTAAGAAACGAGTAGAAACATGAACGTTCCGTGAAAACAAAATAGTTTTTATATTATCTGCCTGTAAAATCAAAAAAAGTTTGTACATTTCCTTAAGAGGGAATGGCATCTACACTAAATCATGGCTTAACTGTTCAAACTTTATTTTTAGAATATCATAATATTATGTTATGGCTTTACGTACATTACTAATGAGTGTTAAAACACAGAGACATCCTATTTAACACCCCTTCCGAGAATCGTCTATTAGATTAATGAACCTACATAATTTAAGCTTTTAAACAAATGGTTTCATTATATATAGCTTTACACTCTTTAATGTTGATTTAGACAGAATTACCTTGGGGCATGGGGTACAATATTGTTAAGTAATAATACATTTATTGTAAATTAACTGAAAGTCTTAGTAGTTAAGTGCACTTTGATAAAAACAATCCTCTTTTTCTCCTATCACCTATTTCACCAAAAGCCAGTCTTATCTCTGGTCCATCAAGACAACGAATTAGTGTAAAAATATGTAACAGATTAACCTCCCTTTAATCTTGCATTATCTCCCTTTATCTATTAGCCTCATAACATGATTATGGAATGCCCAACTTGCCACTTGTTATTGTGTTTCAGTGTGAGTTGATTTTTACGTAAGACAATGAGATAACCTATGGTGTCTATCTAATGAAGCTAATTTGAAGGATTATGACATAAGCAAGAGGCGTATCGCGTGAAACAGCCTACTTTTCCCCATCCAACCTTAAAAACTCAGACTACAAAAGCTCTTTTCCAAATCTAGCATATCGTTTATAAATTTTTGTGTGTATACACTTTTATAAATATACAAATGCGATCAATGCAAAGAGAAAAGAGTAAATTTAATTTTCTTTATCCTGTATTCCTATAAACTTTACAATTATTGCTGTATTTATTTCATTAAAACATGTTTTCTATGTATATTCATTTCTCTTCCGTTGACACCACAATTTGTGATGTTACACTGACTGTTTTTGGAAAGTACTTTACCTACACTTTTTTTTCAGAAAAAAAATTAAGGGAACTTAACACCGTGTAGTGATTTCGTAAGTAATATACATTACAGCTAGAACTGCTGATCGATATATGAGAATCATGAAAACTTAATTAGCACCTAATGAGAGAGAAGTTATGAATTTTTTATATCAAATGCCATAATTAATGCTTTTCAGGTAAATTCTGTTTCAAATTAGTGTTTTACATGAAGATTATACCTCTTCTTCATAACATATTCATGACATATTCCCAAGTGATCTAAGGGAGAAGTTGCAATTAAATACAAGTAAAGAAACAGGCTGCTTACTAATTATCATACCTGCGAACTTTATGAAAAAGAGGTTCAAGTAAATGAGCTTGAAATTAATCTAAAAGATCATTTATATATTTGAAATTAACCAAAAACCAACTTTATAAACATACTGTAACCCATTTGCATTGGGAATTTTACATTTCTGAAGGTGCATTATTCTGATGACCATGTTAACACGTGTTTAATCTAGAAAATTAAATTCTTTCAGACATTCAAACAAAAACACTTTATCATGAAACATTGTAAACGTTACAGTTCATAGACAGTTTAGTTCAGTTTATATTCGCTGTCGTTTGATCTTCATATTCATCTGTTACAAAATAATCACAGTCGTGAATTTGCTTGACAAGCCAAGTTACTCTCATTTGCACCTTTGCAATCGATTTCCTTTCCGTCATCACTTTTTGCTCCACACGTTTCGCGCTTTTTAATGTACATACAATATTTATGAAATAAAATTTCGACAACAAAAGCAAATAAACCGATGAAAATTCCAATCAAACAAACGTAAAATGCACTTTGTACGTCCATAAACGAGATTGGTTTTGCTTCGGGTATTGAATTCCCAGTACAGAAATTAGACTTCGGCCACCATTTTCTCTTCCAAATTTGATAAAGTCCGCCTTCGTGAATCTTGATCATCCTAGAAAACAAATTGTCAATTGATTTAAGTATATCATAACGAACATTGTTTTTATTTCAATAAATTAAATGCATATAAGATTTAAGTAGATCAATACTATGTATGTATATCATAGGGAACTTGTTTTTATTTCAATAATGAATATAAGATTTAAGTGGATCTAGATCAATACTATATATGTATATCATAGCGAACATTGTTTTTATTTCAATAATTAATTATTATATACTTTATTTATTGTTTCAAAGTTCGTTGAAACGTTTCACACTGCGCCGGAAACTTAAATTATAATGCATATAGAGAGATATTTATTTTAAGTCATTATCATGGTTAAAGATGGTACAGTAACTGAGGCAAACAAGTCAATGAATAAATATTACATAATGCAGAAATAGCATGGTGAAAAAAATATTTACCACGAAATTATATTCCAGTGAAAGGTTATGTTTCAAAAAATTGTTAATCGTTTGACAATATGGATTCGTGTTAATGTGACATATAGCATATATGTCCTCAGAAATCTAATCAAAACAGGTTAAAAATGTTGTAATTGCATGATTAACCAATTAAGATAACAAAAGCACAGACATGTTTTGAAAATTTTACAGCCTAGTTTCAACATTTATATAATTTTATAATAAGCAAAGCAGCTCGATTTGTTTATGGCACACGTGCATACACGACAATTTAATTTAAAGTTTTTTATGACGAATCATATTTTTCTGCCGTTCATTACTGTAGTTAAATAATACTCTAAATGTATCATAAATTAGCACCGATCACATATAACAAATAGACACGCTACTATTGCCCTTTGTAGATCGACGTAAAAGACATTAACTATTAAAATTATAGATAAAGATCTATTTTACTTACTGCTCGGAGAAAACATGGGTATGCGGGGAGTCGTTTGTGAAACCAAATACGTAAATAAGCGGCATGAAATTCTCTTTGATGGAGACAAGGCTGCATTCTGTTGCCATGGCAATCTCTATACTGGTTTTATCACCTGGTAAAACAAATATAGATCGCGTATTAAGAACGGTAATGACTCTTAAAACATTAACGTATTTCAAAGCATTTGGTTTTTCTCATTAATATAATACTATTTTGATAATAGATATTTTAAATGTTTAGTAAAAGAAATAGGTAAACACAAGCTAAATGCAATTATTGATGAGAGCGAAATTGCATCCTTATCTTACAAATTATCAAAATCTATTAACTAATTAGTTTACTTAATGATTTTACCCCTTGGGGAGGGACGAAAGAGCTGTTTATTAAGTGTAGAAAAAACGTGCTAAGGGATGAAATTTATACTGGATGATAAATATAATATTTATTTGAAATAGTATTAAGAATTACTTGTAAATGTAGAGTTTATAAAAGTATGATACTTAAATAATTGTGTCTCAGATTTACAAATAGTGTCTTAGAATTCGGCACTGACAATTAATTGACACCATTTCCGGCTGGTAATGTAAGTCTTCAACAAGGTAAATTTAGTAATAATGAAAATAAAGCATGGTTATACCTATCCAAGCGTATTTTTCATCTTCTTTCACCCGGTTTATATGAAAGGGTGGTCTCTGGTGTAAAACAGTTGGGTCTGTTTTGCTGAACTCCTCAAACGCTTGTCCTATGGCTTTAAATGTTGGGTTGCTTGAAGTCTACAAGCACAATTTTTATTATTTGAATTATTATATTGATATATAAGAGCCAATGACATAGCTGAGCTTGCTATTAGAATTAAATTAATATTAAATTTAGAATCTCATTCAGTTCTTTTTCATAATTGTATAAATTTGTCAATAACCTACTGCATTTTATAATATAAACATTTAAATGATAGATGGATAAAACTGATAAACGTTTATGTTAAAAAATACTATTTTCATTTCGACATTTTTAATGTTTAAAATTGCTGCCCAGTCTCTTAGTAAATATCAAATAAACATATTTTGGTTTACACAGAATTTATTTTATTCGATTGTGTAGGAAGCAATAAGCCTATAAACACACTTTCGAATCCGTTCCTGGATATAAGAATAGTAGAAGAAACAATTACTAGAGCATAGAAATGTATTCAATGTTTAATCATTATCATAAATATGTTACTATGCATCACAAATAAGCTTTTTTAAAGATATATTGAACATAAATTATCACCGGAAATGCCATCTCCCACGAGGTGCCTCCTACAGTGCCCCATTTGTAGTCGCCTTTAAGATCCAGCATTTCAGCAAGAGTGTTAAACGGAGGTTTCTCTTTAGTGACAGTTAAGAAGGCAATAAGGTTGCCGCAGTATGTTCCGACAATGATAATACAAGTGAGCCACCAGCAGCTTATCAAGGTACGACCTGATGTTGATTGTGGTAGATGTACCCCACCTGTTTGATAATAAATTAAGAGAAATATAAATCTGTCAAAACCTGTTCCATTAGGTGAAAAATATTTCTGGATAGCAAATTGAAGTAAAAATATACATATATTTTTATATCAATTTTATTTAAATCTTATTAGAAATATACTCTGATATCTACTTAAAGGAAATATAAATATACTTGCATATAGCTAATTATAAGGAAAGTTTAATACTGAAGAGCTACTTACAGTCAATATGAATATACCTTGATGGCTACTTTAAATTACGTTAATGTAAATATGAAAAGAAAGCTATTTAAGATCATATTAATCTATGTAAATTTAGATAGCTTTTTAGCAAATGTAATAACATGTGTACTACTACTAACATATCTACCTGAAGTTGATTATTATATTTTATTATGGATAGCTACTCAAGCTATAATTCTTTATTTCAAAATTGAATAAAAGGCACGGATTAGTTTGATAATTTCCTGACCTCATGGATCTTTGATTTAACAATTTAAGTTTTGACAGATACAATACATTTTTTAGAAATATGCATTCATCAATTTATTTGTAATTACTTAAATGTGTGCAACTTGCAGCAATGCTTGAAACTATCTTGTTTTTAGTAGTCCTATCTTATGTTTGGATCTGAACATAATGCTTGAGTAAACAAGATAAACAAGGAACGGCGGCGTTCATTGAATGCATCCCAATACGACCCAGCAACAAGAACCAGCTGCAATGAGCCCAGAAGAACTCCAAACAAGGCATAGAGCACGAAGAGAATAATCACTTTAATAAGAACTAGGTTAGCTTTTAAAAAATCTAGTAGCGACTCGCTTCGTAATTTTTTTTCCAGGGGTGTGTTTAAATGTAAAAATGACAGTTCTGTTAGCTGAAGATACTTTGAACAGCGAACATCAAAATACAAGTGACATATAAAGTTATGGAAGCCAGTCTTCTCAGTTTAAGAAAGAGGAATATGTGTATATATGAAGATGCATGTAAACAGATAGAATGAAATCCCTATGTCTATGCACATTTACTATATGGCCTTGTGACCTTGACCAAAAAAATAAGATAGGTAGAATTCATAATAATGTCTTTTTATACGAAGTAAAGTTGTAATATGTTATTTTGTATTTGAATGAGTGACAGACACAAGTCCTATACAGTAATATATTACTGAAGAACTCTCTTGGGTGTGGGCGAATTTAGATTCATGGGACATGATTAACATTTATTTTGATTTGTACAAGTTCTCAAGGCATTGGTACATATTCAATATTAAAGCTGGGGGCATTGAAGTTTAAATCAATAAGACTTAAACATATTTTCCCTAAGCATTTTAATAAAAATTGTGTCCACTTCATCTTGGTATGTGAAATATTTTAAACAAATTGATATGATGTAGATACATGAACAAAATTTCAAAGTGGTCAACAAGGCAATACCATATGCCAAATATTTAATGTTAAGGCATTAATGAGGTATAAAGGTGTGCGTATGTGTTTCTATATAAAACGTGTCCTTGACCTATATGTAGAACAATATGAACAACTATAAAAGAGGACTCCTGATGGTATTAAATATATAGCGATCCAGGTAATTAACCACTGCCATGTCATATTCAGAAAAGCCGGGATCGTATTAACTAATTATGCGATATACACGCCTTTTAACGCCTTTTTCATCCCCCTTTTTTGTTGTCTCAAATAGTGAAAAAATGCCTAATTTAGGCCCCCAACACTTGTTTTTTGTTGACAAATGTTATTTAAAAAAGTGACCACTTTTTCGGCGCGGCCCCCGAACCAAAAGATACATCAGGGGGATCCCAGAATCGATCATAAGGTAACGTGTAGCCAACGCTGAAAAGCATTTGACTCTATCTCAATCCATTAAGAAGTTGCAGCACTTTGAAATCAATTTTGATTGAAAAAAATTTTTTTGTTATCAATAATGTAAAGTATATCTTATGATCTTTTCTAAAAATAATATTTATATACATGAACATAAAATTTAGCAAAATATTATAATAACAAAAACTTTTATTGGCACATAGTTACAAGTATTGCGATTTCCGCATTTTAAGTTTGTTAATAATTAGTTCTAAATACATTTAAACTTTAAGTTAAATTAATTTATCATTCATTACATACAATAAAAAATAAAAAGTTATCGTTCAGTCGCCTTTCATTACGACATTAAGCAACACAAATATAGTTTATTCCTTTTCCCTATATATCTAATACTATCCCGGATCCCAGGCGTCCCTGATCCCGGGATTTCCCACCACTCTAAATACCGGAAAGGATAAAATGACCGGAAAAAAGAAAAAATGCACAGAACCAGATGTACACTTATGTTAATTAACCAAACGAAAACTTACTACAGAGAAAACAGGTGAAATCGCTAAATCAAAAGTCAGTGTAAATATGATTTATTGAAAAGAATTCATGAAAACAAACATTTTAATCATCATTATATCTTTGCGCTCAACCCAATTCTTGCTGCTTTTTAAAATGGCGTGAAAATTGAAGTTTTTTTTTTTTTGACGCTATGTAAGATTAAATTAGATTTGCTTAATAATTTTGGATCCCAGTCCTGAAAGATGAATTTTGTAGAAAGCTGGAAGCCGAGCTTCGATTAAATTTTTGGATGGAAACGGAGTTTTAGGTTGTTTCTCAGTAAAATCCTATCGTAATACCGGCTCGCCTTGGCGAGCCGGCAAAAACTAGTAACCGACAGGGAAATAAAGGAAAAACAAATTATTAATTGATTAATAGGCACATACAGGAGAAGGGGACTCGATATTCGGGGAAGGGAGGAGTTAAAATAATAGAACTAGGGGCAAAGGGATCCAGCCATACCACTGCTTTTCCTAAAATTTTGTTTCTTAACTTGTAAATAGCACCCTTATGCGTATAATATTACGTTATTTGAGATTCTTACAAAAAATGTGCTCTGCATTTACATCATTATTCCTCCAGTTTTACCTACCTTGACAAAGCAGTGCTCCGAAGACATACCAAAAAGAGCTGTGTAATTCATGCAAACCGCCATAAATCATTCTCTCCTCGGCGTGTTCGGGGGTGTTATAAAACGGGTTGTACTTTTCCATCAAAAACACCAGCACAGTCACCAAAAGCAAAGAAATTCCTTGAAAATAAGTTCATGAACGATAAAGTTGGATTCTCCTTGCTAATTCTCGACAATAATACGAATGTTTTATTAGAGCTAAATGACTCCAGATATGCAAATAAAGTCAAGACAATCGGCCTAAACGAAATGTTCTATGATAATTAAATAATAAAATATGTTTATAATTCAAGTAATAACTTACATGATGTTAAATGCAATTTATAACTTATTACCATATGTTTACTGCGTGATAAAGGCAGTAAGAAGTTCTACGGCATATCTTTTACTTTTATTTGGTTATTTACAATACAATACAATACAATACAAATACTTTTATTGCAAATAAAACATTATTACAATGTTTATAGCAAAAACAAAACATATATATATACATTCATGAAAATGAGATCTGACATGGAATGAAAAAAATAATAATAATCACTATTTCCTGAAAGGTCTTAAAATACTTAGGAAATAGCAGGTTGCACAAAATGTCTTAAATATGATATTGATACTACATCTAGATGTTAATATGATATTAATTAATACTACATCATCAAGATATTCTATCTTTATTTGCAAAATATAAAAACTTCGAAAGGTTGTATAGCTCTATTTTCGATTTAGAATTTAATAAAGACTCAAATCTATTAATTGTCGGCCACCTACAGAAATATCCCTTTAAAAGCTTTTTTCTAAGCTCTCTATATCTAGGACACACCAACAAAAAGTGAAACTCTGTTACAGGACTTACGCGGAATATTCGTATATCTTCCGGATTCTATAAATAGCTTATGTGCAGATACCCGAAATTTTGATAAAGTTGTCATATATTTTCTATCTTGTATACAATCAATATATGTCTCACGTTCAAAAGTGTTTAAATAAACTATAGCTTTGTAATCGCGGAGAATTATTTATTTCTGCATGCCATGACTGCTTATAATTATCCAAGATTCTACCCTTTATCATATCAAAGGTAACATTATCTAAAACTTGGTTGTGCCATACGTAACCGAAACCATGCTCTTCGAGTATAGTTTTTACATGTGAAGCCCAATTTTTGTTTCTATACGTGACATTGTTATCCGCGTCAAATTTTAGGACACTGTATGTTTTGAACGTTAGCGATAAGTTGTCATGCGAAATAAGTTATTTCCAATATTTCAAAATAGTTATTTTTCGATAAATATTTAAAGGGACTCTACCAAGCTCCCCATACAAAGCTAATAAATTTGTTGATTTACGTACCTCTAGGATATACCTTTTAAAAGTGTATCATTTCAATATCAGTGGCTCTATGTGTACCCCATATTTCTGAGCAAAAATTCAGCACGGATACAACTACTAAGTAACACATCAAATAAATGAATCTTTTTTTGAGTTAGGCAATTCAATTTGTCGAAAAATAGAAAACAAGTTATGCAGTGAAAACGAGGCATGGTCGGCAATTTGTTTCTGTGTGCGTGCCCAGTTACCATTTTTGAAAAAAAAATTACACCGAGATATTCAAAGGAGTTCACCAGTTCAATTTTTTGACCATATATATAGAAATCTGCGAACGTACACTTGCATTTTCAAAAACCATGGCCTTCGTTTTGTTAACATTTATTTTCATAACCCATGTAGAGCAGTAATTCTCGATATCGTTAAGCATAGACTGAAGAGATTTTTGTGATGTAGCAAATAAAGCCATGTCATCCGCGTATAATATCAAAAATAGTTTGACGTCATCAATTGTTATGACATCATCTAAATCACTGTTAATGTTTTGTGTAATGTCGTTTACGAAAAACATAAACATAAGAGGCGAACTGGGGTCTCCCTGTTTTAATCCAATGTCAGAAGATAGAAAGTCAGAGACTTCTGAATTATAACGCACGCATGACTTCACCGCAGTATACATGGATCTTAACGCCATGACAAATTTACTACTTACGTTTTCATTTATCAACTTTTGCCACAAAAATTGCCTGTCGATTTTATCGAAACACTGCTCGTAATCGATGAAAATACAATAGAGTTTTTGCTTGGAATTTAGTATCTTAGATATGACGGCGTTTAATATAAAGATACAGTCAGTGATAGATTTTCCTTTTTGAAAACCAAATTGGTTGTTTGACAATTTATCATGTTCTTTCGACCATTTACTCAAACGATTCAGTAATATTTGCGAATATATTTTCGCTATTATATTAATCAGTGTTATCCCGCGATAGTTCTTAGCAACGTTTATATCACCCTTTTTAAATACAGGGGTTATAATTCCTTGTCCCCATGCGGTGGGATATTCATGGTCATTAAAAATCTTGTTGTATAATTTATTGAGAAAGGGAGAGATTATGTCAAATGTCGATTTAAAAATTTCAGCGGGAAGATTATCTAATCCCGGAGCTTTATTACTATTTTGCATGAAAACAGCGTCACGGATTTCTGTATTAGATATTTCCAAATCCAACGAAATATTATTAGAATTCGAATTTTCGGGGATATGTTGGTCGTTATCGTTTGTTAAACCGCCGCCGAACATTTCTTGGAAATGTCTTTTTAGCTCATCAATTGTCAGAGAGCTTGCGATTGGAGTTTTCTTTTTATATGACTTCTTAATAGATTTCCAAAAGTCACGCGGTTGAGAAGATGCCAAGCTACTAATTCTACGACCTTCTTGTATTCTATAATTACGACGCGCTTTCTTTTTTACTTTATTATAACTAGTTCTCGCGCTAACATAGGCGCAACGGTTATCGTTGTTTTTATTTCTGTTATAAATATTTCGGCATGCACTAAACGTTCGTTTGGCTGTAAAACAGCTGTCATCAAACCATTTTTTATTTGAGAAGTCACATTTATTTTTGTTTACAGTAACTCGTTGTGTTTTCCCGAACACATCGTATGTTTGCATTTTCATGAAACTACAAAATTCGTTTACAGTACAGTCAATCGGTTGAGTGCACACTTCATTCGTTAGGCGGCTAAGTATGTCATGATTATTCATGAGTTTATCACGGAACAGCGGTATTTTACCTGTATCCCAGACAATTCGATTAATTTCATTACCTGAATTAATTTCCTTATTTTTGTCAATATTTGTGTGAACGATTCTGAATTCGAAAGATATACAAGCATGATCCGAAAATTCATTAAAATCATGAACCGTAAAATTAAAAACATTATCAAAATCTTGGTATTTCAATAACAGGTAGTCAACTAAACTTGCACCTAGTCGGGAGGTAAAAGTAACAGCCCCGATACCTAAATCACTGTCAAGCCTACCATTGGCTATCAAATAATTTGTCGCAATGCACATTGCTAGCAAACTCCGCCCACTATGATCTAGCACGTGGTCTTGACTTATTCTAAGCGGGATAGATGTAGTGTCAATAAATGGCTGATCACTATCTAAATATTTATCAAAAGTCAAAAAATCACAGCTATCGCTGGAACGAGCATTAAAGTCTCCAGAAATGAAGACTTTACCTAACAATTCGTACTTTAAAATACCCTTTTCTAACTCGTCATAAAAATCAAAATCATTAGTTTTTAAAATTTTGGAATCTGACGGGGGTATGTAAACATGGCAAATATAAACATCTGTTTTAAAATTAAACAACTGACCTGATATTCTTATCCACAATATTCCGTTATCAATACTTTCAACTATTGAAACATATTTTGCTATTTCAGTCTTAAAATACACAGATATTCCACCACTTAAACGTCCTCTAGAGTTTTGTTTAACCTTAGTTCCATATATATGATATGCCTTATAACCAGTAATATCTAAATTTAATATTTCTTTCCTAGAAATCCAAGTTTCATTTAAGAAAAACAAATCAAATGAATCGATAAATTCTATAAAGTCACTGTCTGTAATGTTCCGTTTAAGTCCATTTATATTATACTTTTATTTGGTTATTTACGTGGATGGAAAGTAATGTGTGTTATGTAATAATTACACTCTTTGTTCACTGGTTAATATAAAACATTATGCTACGTTTTCGAAATTTCAGAAAATAAGTAGGACTGTTGAGACATGCTGCTTAAGTAGATTGTCTACAATCATATATTATGCATCTTTATACACTTGTTTACAAGAATCAATTTATCAACTTATCTTGACCTCCAGACAAATATTATTCTATTTTTTCTTTAAGTAGGCGGATACGTTCAATTAAAATGTTTGCGTCTGCTTTATGATGTAATGATGCTTTATGAATTTGCATCTATCATATCCATTTACATAGATAAAATGGCTGTCTTTTTAGAACACTCATTATATCGCTGCTAAAGTTGTTTACCTATTGTTAAAAGAACCTCCCATTTTAATGGATCTATAAGAGTTCTCCACTTCCTTGCATTCACATCGGGTTTTTTCACAAGGACCGAAGTATATTCGTAGTAGTATGAATAACTGAAGTCCATGGCTGGACTCCTGATTGCCTGGCTTGCAATTGGCGCGGCAACAAAATCAATCTCCTGTATTTCATCAAATAAAATATTTCAGTGTAAAACGCAAACAAAAACATGAGTGGGCAAAAAAGGGACAGGCGTGCATATCATTGCAGTCTGGTCAGACCTTATACTGCTTGATGTTTTTTGTGTTTTTTTTTTTTTATAAAAATAAATCCCTTATTTATCCTAGTTCAAAGCAAGTCAGGTCAATCAGAGATGTAGATAATGATTATTATAAATGTCTCTGGATCCATTGCACAAATTTAGTAAGTTAAAAGTCAATATTCTAATAGACAAAGATGTCATATTGATCTGCCTGTTCAAATCTAACATATACATTTATATAATTATTGTTTGTTTTAAAATGTTTTTGTAACAATCCTGGTTACCTTATATTTAAAAAAAGGTTTGCATTTGTTTACTTGCCTCTCTTTGCAGTTGTCCAACAAGACCATTGAACGTTAAATTTTCCTCACTTGTAATTGTCCCCCAGTTTCCATCATCTGGCTCCGTCAGTTCATAACTGATAAATAAAAGCCGGAAAGATAAAACAATATATTTCCGTATCTGGTATGTATTTTTAGGGAGATTTCTTTATTTTCACAAGTAATTCTAAATATGGCCTCAATTTTTTATATAAATAAATTGTCTGCGTATTTACTTCCAAATGGCTTTTTGTTATTAATGTCTGAACTTTTATTTTAATTTTCATTTGATGTGCTATAATATATTTTACTTTTAGGTTCCTTTTTTATCGTATATGACAAAGATGAGCAAAGGGCAAACAACGAATTGTGAGACAAATTTAGCGTTTCATTATCTTATTACAAACATATTAAGACAGTCAAAGTGTGTGAAAACTGTAACACAAAATTGTCTATTTGACAATGTGCATAGAAGAAAATACTTGAATATCAGCGATTCTGACAGGTTTTACTGTTCGTGAATATTTCATAGATACAGAGTGAATGTTTATAAAGTGCGTAAACAACCCCTTTTGTCACCTGTGACTTTATCTTTGTGAAGTCCCTCTGTTCTCTACTGATGCAGTGGGTGAAACATACTGATTAATCGCCTTAATTAGAAAATCAAAGGGACTTCATAAACAGTTGACAACAGCCAATGAGATGGTTGATGCATTTAACATTTCCATTATTTACATTGACAGATTATCTACCTAAATCGGTGCTATTTTCTACCGTATACTATGTCGCGAAATCATGTGAATTCGTCTTATAACAAGTGATATCTTAAACTTTAGTAACTCACTTTTTATATTTAAGTATCATATCAACATATCATATCAAACTTTATTGAGTTATAAGGCCACCGGCCCATACACATATAAAGATTTATAATACAAAATATACATCTGCGGATGCTACAAATCAGACATGGTTAAGACATAATAGAAATATATAAAACAAAATGTCAACAATTATCATAGAAATAGAATTGGTACTAATTATCAAAATAAAGACATTGTGTTCTTTAAGCGCTACATTTATCAAAGAAAAGTATAAATACTAATTATCTTAACATAGACAAAAATTGATCACGTTCTCTAAACGCCAGATATAGAAAAGTTGTTAATTTCTTAATTGTATCAATATCTTGAGTTGACATCAGATTATAATATTTTATATATGAAAGATATTTCCAGAAATAATCACTGATGTAAGTATGTCTTATATTAGAGTAAAGTGGACAAATAAGTACAAAATGGTACATGTACTCATTTTCTTGTACACATTCACAAAGTATCAGCCATTTGTTATCTTAAACTGTCAGCCAAGTTTATATTTAGACGTCAGACAAATGATATATCAAAATGTCAGCAGAATATTATAATCTTAACGGTTAGTATATGCTTACGTGAAATTAAGTTTATGCGCCAACTCGTTTAACAAATCCATACAGAATCCTTCATATATGTAGGTGTCGTTGACCTTCCTCTTGATCACAAATGGCGCATACTGTCAACAATAAATAGTTACACTTAGTAAATGTAAGTGAGCAAGTGAGAACCCAGGGGAGGAATGAGAACATTAAATGTGAAAGATTAAAGACTCAAACCATAAAGTATTGCAATCGATGATGTCAGAGAACCATATAGATGTAACGATAAGGTATGTTGTTACGTTATACATTTGCTTCAGATAATTGCACACTTACATTTGCAAGTTAACAATTTGATTTTAATCTTGATAAAACTCCAGCGAAAAATTGAAAATTGCATTCCAATCTGTATGAAAGAATACATATGTTCGGTGAATGTTCAGTGTGCTTGAGATATTTATTATTTGTTATCAAATACAATTACATTATATTAACTATGTTAATGACATTAATTCTTACCTCAAGAGTTGATATAAGAAATTTCCTCTTGTTGTAGCCATACTTCAGGTTTGGAAAAACGTCAGAATTTAGAGAAACGTCCCCGTTGATATCAGCATGACCGACAGTGGTAAATTCTCTACCATTTCTTGACCAAATCAATGTATCAATATAGTAAGACTGGCACTTGCTTATTGGATCCCAAGACTGGACATTCTTTGTACAAATATAAATAAATATTGAATAAAAAGATGATAACATAAATGCTTACGTTAAAGTTACTGTTGATAATATTTATGTTGTTACTGATAATAATCAAAATTCTAAATTTTATAATAATTGCATTGTTGTAATGATGATGTCTTATAATAATTATTATAATGATGTTGATAATGATGATGCAAATAATGATGGATTTGATGATAATGACTCAGATTTTGATTATGATGATTTTCATGATGTCAACGACTAAAACGATGATGATTATGATGATTGTGACGATGATGCTAAATTGACAAAGATAATGATGATGATGCAAATGATAACGGTGTCGACGACGACGATTATGATGATGACGACAGAGACGATGCGATGTCGTCGATGATGATTTTTAGGATAATCATAAAGATGATGTTTTAAGATTATGAGAAATTCATAAGGAACAAATACATAAATGTTTTTGCTTTCTATCCGTACACAAAACTTGCTTGTCTGTAAACTTACTTCTTCAAATTTGTTAATAAAGTCGTTCTTAAAGGCCTCGGAACGGTCTATCATTATCTGCTCCCTCAGAGTGTCCAGTAAAGTTTTCTCAATGATGTAGAATATATCCTAAAATAATTAATATTGAATTGATAAAAGGGTGTCCCATACTTGTTATATTAATGATATTTTTATCTTGTAATTCTAACATCATGTTAGCAACATTCAGGACAAATGATAAGTTTTAAAGAGGTTTTGTTCATAAATGTAAAAACTTTTTTTTTTAATCCTAATTCTTACTTTACACATATGTCATTTAGATACAGTAACAACCGATCAGTTAGGAACAGTTGTTTACTTTACTTAATCTTATCTTTATTTAGATTTAGATGAGAAGTACGGTGACAACATCGAGACAATCTTAAAGCATTCGAGGGAGGAATAAAATGAAGGTAATGTGTATTCAAATAAAACTATTTTAATCAATCCCTTAGTCGCAATTATTACTTGCACATTTACATTGCAGTTGTTGTCTAAAAACATAAATGAAAAGGTACCTCAATCATACTTCCTTTGTTTTCTGGAATTGCAAGAATTCCAACGTTATCAAGGTCGTCTGCACACGTGACCAATGCATGGGATGCGTAGCGAGTATATCCATGCAAAGCGATTAGCCATTTTGAGAACTTTTTCATCAGCGTTTTAAATTTATTCAAAGAATCAAACTCATTTGCCTGTTATAATAAATAAAATAATTGTTAGAATCTACTCTTATTCTTAAAGAGTAACAGTCAAATCAAAAGCACAGCAACAATATTTTCACAAACTTATACGAATACCTTGTAAACATAATGATAATTAAAGTATGAACACAAAATTAACATTGTCAAATAACTTGCTCATTTTCTGAATATGAAATTATAAAACATATTATTAACTTCTTGTTGATTCATAATAAATTTACAGTGTCATTTGATGTACTTTGGCGTAATATAACAAAAACTCAAAAGAGTTGAAGAATATAAAAATATAAAAATTCTCTTATATATGTTTCTTAAAACATGCAGTCGTTGAACGCCGCATTACCTTTTTTGATATCATATGTTGTTCAGTTGTGTATTTTATCACAGACGATATGATTAATCACACTTTCAGACATTACTATTTCAGGAAAATATCATTTCAGCTTTTTTTATTTAGGTCACAACAATGTTTGAATAAATTTACATACGGCTTTAATAATGTCTCTCGTACAACTGAAGCCACACACAATAACTATGTTAATAGCTTTATTGCTGGCGATACTTGTCCGATATATGTTTAGAAGTACGCTATGAATATCATCCACCTGGTCGTTGTTGAAGAGAGCAAACATGACGCCGTCCGAAGAAAAGTCATCGACAAGTTTGGATATTTCATCTTCTACAAAATGGAAAGACGTTAATTACTAGTATATATAATATTATAACATTAAAAAGTATTGCAAGCTATTTTCAAAGTACGTTAAGTAGACTTTTTACAACCGATTATTTACTTTGCATGCAGAAATACATACGTTTCGTGATGCTGATTAAGTTATTGCATGTTTTAGTCTAAAAGCCATGTTCGTTACAGTTCACTAAGTCTTATTATTTTATTTGATTTTATGCACCGAAAACATTGGAATCATGCATTTTGTCTAGTTTTGGTCTACGGTGTTCCGTTAGGGCCAGCTGTGCGTTTTCTAAGAGAAAGAAAAGCGCGAAACATGACGGTACAATGGTGACAGTGCGACAGTATGATGGTGACAATACGACAGTACGATTGAGAAACACAACAGCACGATAGTGACAGTACATCGCGTACTGTCGTATTGTCATCATTTTACTGTCATCATCGTACTGTCGTACTGTCACCATCGTACTGTCATGTTTCGGGCCTTTCGTTCTCAGATACAACGCGTTGGCCCTAACGGAACACCGTATTGGACTCTGATAGCGCTGTTCGCTACAATTCAATTATTATTTGATTTTATTCATTGAAAAATCTTAAACTTTGCATTTAACGATGTAAAATGTTCCCACTTTACAAATCTGATGAAATATGATGTCTTAGAAATACAGATATAGTTTAACAATGTAGCTACAAACAGATCAATATATTTAATCCAATCTTTTTAAACTGACACTCGTAGCGGAATAATAATGTTGATCATATTATTGATATCTTTGTCTAAAAATACAGTATAATTACTATTTTGATACGGATAATAGTTCATCTGGCATATTTCCCTTTAAAGACATATCATTTCACTTTTTACAGCGTATACACACTACAATATGTGTAACTTAAAGACACAATATCTTTACGACCACCTGTCGTATCAACATCATTGCCTTAATATGCTAACATTTGTCTAAAATAACAATTTTTACAACAAAAAATCTTATTTTGAGGCTAAAAACATTGGATTGGACAATTCCTTTGTATTTTTAACTAAAAAAATCTATGTATTTGCTTTGATAAACTTGATTCTTAATCGAATCAATGCTTTCGGGATCATTTTTTCTAATACCTTCAGAATTGAAGATTAAATTTGATTAAATGTTTAAAATGGCATCCGGCTGTCATTATATAAAAATAACTTTATCACTTTAAAACAAATCATGCAATTGTATTTCAATTAAAAGAATGATGCATGCGCGAGAAATCACCTGTCAAGTAAACTAATATTGTGTGCAGAAACGTTTAAATTCTATTTTCGTATAAAATTAAATGTGCGATACATTAAAGAGATGCATTTGCTATAAATATGTCCAGATATGACTAAAGAATATGACAATAACCTGACTGCAGGATGGAAATTTACTTTTTGCCAGTTACTTGTACACCCTATAAAACACAATGGAATTGTAAAGTTTGCGGGTAAAATGAATAAAGTAAATCTTCAAATTATAAAACAAGCTTGCATTTTAAAAAAAGTTCAATTAAAGAGCAATACGGTGTATTTGACATAATGCAGTACATACAAATGCTATCAACTGCCATATTAGATACTAGCTCGTATTCTTCTGAGAAAAATTGAGCCGTGTCCTGACAAAACCAACATAATGGGTTTGCAACCAGCATGGATCCAGACCAGCCTGCGCATCCGTGCAGTCTGATCAGGATCCATGCTGTTCGCTATTAGTTTCTCTACTTGTAATAGAGTTAGTAAGCGAACAGCATGAATCCTGAACAGACTGCGCGGATGCGCAGGCTGGTCTGGATCCATGCTGGTCGCAAACGCACTATGTTGGTTTTGTCATGACGCGGCTCATTTGTGAATCCGACACCATTGACAGTATCTGAGATATGACACCATTGATATTAACTTAGAGGTATAAAATATTAGTTAATTAGAAAGTTGATTAGAAATTACAAACTGTAATTAGTTTTCCAATCTTCATTTTCCCAAGGTGGATACTATGTCAATTATATAGTTGACAAAGACCATTCAGTGATAAATTATAATTACTAGATACCCAACTTATCTATGTAGGGCCTTCAAGTATATCACAAAGTTCAAACGTTTACACAAGAAATGAATACGAAATTCATTAATAATGCATAAAAACGTAATCAGATCTGGATTTTATATCTGAATTATTTTCTATTAGCGCGATTGATTTTATAATAACCCTTTTCGTTGTATTTCATAAAAAATTACCGGTAACTGACGCTCTGTTGATGCCAAACATAATTTATTTTTTTACGTTTTTCTTTATGCTCTTGACGTATCATTTTCAGAATTCTTATATCAGGATGTTACTTTTGTTTATCCGTCATTCGCAGCAAAACATTACTCGCATTGAATGACCAAATGCATGGCATCATCTTAAACTCAAAATGAAAATCATTTCGAAAACAATGTGCTATTCTGATATTCTTTTTATTTTTAGCTATAATAATAACAATATATTTAAGGTAATTTTGCCATTCTCTTTGTTGTTTGCGCTTTTTTGAGAAAAACCTTAAAACTTTGATTTGAAACTAACACTACAAATTCATTTCCAGAAAGGTATATTCAGAATGTGGCTTTCGCGCATAATTATGTACAAATATAGACAAGTTTGATTTTGGTGTTTAACAAATTTAAAGCCAGAATGATATTTTTGTATAATATGTACATATGTCTTATAAGTTATACAAGTGTTTTAAACATAATCAATTTTATAGAGCTGTCATTAACAGAGTAAATATTGATATACATGTATCGTTTATATTTGTCGTACAAATTTGAAACAAATTGATACTTTTTTATTAATTATTTAGATGTCTATAAATTATGAAAATCCCTCGAAACATATACAAAAGCAGGTTTTAAGTATATTTAATCACAGAATACAGAGTACGCATGTAACTTTATAAAATATGTAAATAAGTGTGAGCTAGTTTTCTAATGAGTTCTCACCTGTGGCACTTTCGTAGAAAATTATGACATGTTTCCATTTGAGGGATTTTACAATTGAACAAACTGCCCTGGGTATTGGTTGTCTTAACAGAAGAGTATCCCTGAAAACAATGCACGTAAATTATAAATTGAATTAAATTAAATTAACATAAATTTGTATATTTCTTTTTAAGCACAGTTTTTGTTGTTGTTGTTGTCGTTGCTGTTGTTGTCTTTTGTGGGGTTTTTTTTCATGACCCGAATGCGCCAATACTGGAAACATCAGTATTAATGTTATGTCAGGTGTCGCTGAATTCTGATAGAATTGAAACTTGTAAAACGTTGTCTTGATATCTTACTTTGAACAATGTATATGGAACAAATTACTTATGGACCAGACGCCATAAATGTAAGCCTAGCCTTATAAACGATGGGAAAATCAAATATCAATTACCCCTTTTCAGCCATAATAATATTATTCTAATAATTAATTGGAATCAATTTTTGCATGGAAGTTTTAGTGTTACAGTGTTTTAAGTTACATGTTTTCAACATATTTTATCGTAACACGTTATTTATAATCTAATTGATTAAAGAGACATTCGAATCAAAACTCAAAAGTTTATAAAATGCTTATTACCTATGAATGAGGCTACCATTTGTACTTGGCAGACAATACACATCCTTTTCAATAGGGAGTAAATTACTGTCCTTGCAAGTGTTGTTCTTTGTGTGCACCTTGAAGAGAAGTAGAATGGTTGCTTTACTGTTGATGACGATGTAAAGCTTTAAGCTTTAAGTAAAAACAGCACATTGAAGTGTCTACGATTATATGCTTATATGAAATGTTCATTTTCTGAAGTCAAATCGAAATATGTCCATGCTATTTACGTTACTTTTGATGGCAAAATGAAAATAAAAATGATCTGAATTCAAAATTCATCTATTTGTTACCTTTTTGAAAATGTTTGTCAATCATTAAATATCTTTGTAAAACTAGATGCGAAAATAAATAAATCACATTTGCTACAATAATTATGGTCAAATGATATTTAAGTAATGATAAATACATTATTATAAACATCTTATAACGGTTATAATAATTGGATAATATTTTATGCCACAATAAATATATTTTGATAATGTTTTTCCTAACAATAATTACATGTTGATGATATTTTCAAATTATAACATTCTGATTCTAGTTCGATAATAAAATTTATGGTGGCATATTTCTGCCACCAGATAACCTGATAACTAACTAGTTAATTAGGAAGTTAACTAGTTACGTAACTAGTTAACATCATAATTAACTAGATAGTTATGTGGTTAACTAGTTACGTAACTAGTTATTTTTTCAATAAATAGTTAATTAAGATGTTAACTAGTTACGTAAATACGTAACTAGTTAACTTCTTAACTAATTAGTTAATGAAGAGGTTAACTAGTTATGTAACTAGTTAACTTCTTAACTAACTAGTTAATTAAGAGGTTAACTAGTTACGTAACTAGTTCACCTCTTAGTTAAGTAGTTAGTTAAGTGATTACCTAGTTACGTAACTAGTTAACCTCTTAATTAACTAGTTAACATCTGAATTAACTAGTTCATATTAAAGCGTTAGCTAGTTACGTAACTAGTTAACCTCTTAATGAACTAGTTAGTTAAGAGGTTAACTAGTTACGTAACTAGTTAACATCTTAATATTAACCTGGTAGAATAATAAAAGGCTGGTAGTTGTAGGCACTAACATGCATTTATTGGTCTTTTATTTATTGATTAAAATTAACTAGTTACGTAACTAGTTAACCACATAACTAACTAGTTAATTAAGAGGTTAGCTAGTTACGTAACCTCTTAATTAACTAGTTAGTTATATGGTTATCTGGTGGCAGAAATGTGCCAACATAGAAATTGTTATAATTTTGGTAATGATAATCATTTTTTGATAATATTTTTGTTACTTTTATTTAAATCTGATATTATTTTATGTATTACCATACTCACGTATTGATACTACATGTGTTAAGATAGTTACGTCTGATAATTTTTTGCTGCGTCAATTTAAATTTCATATTATTAATCATGATTTGTTTTTCTTTAAGATAATAAATTTGATACTATTTTCTTTACGATAATGACATTTTCACACTATTTTCTTTACGATAATTTCATTTACATACAACATGTATTTTCTTTACGATAATAACATTGTAATGATATATCATTTTCGATGATAACATTTTGATACATTTTGTTGCCATCATTATGTTTTGATTAACAGTTTCATTATATTTCAAAACTATTTTTCTTTCCGATAATTAGTAAGTTTATACAAATTTATTTAAGTTCGATTGTGTTAGAAGCTATAAGCTTATTGTAAGACTCTCGAATCCGTTCCAGGAACCAACCAGTTCTAAGCAATAAGTCTAATTACATTTTCGTAATATTTTGGTCTTGCTCCCATCGGAAGAATCTTCTTATTCTGTGACGTCATAATGTTGGGAACCTTCAAAACAGAGCTGTCATAGTCCATCATCACAATGACGTCAATGCTTGAATTGGTATCCAGCTTACGGACTGAAAAACATACAAGTTTTACATTTATATGCAACGTAACTATAACAACTTTATTTTGTAGTATAACATTTTTGATTACAATATCATAATACAATACCTGAGTCGGTACTATTTAAAATTATCCCATCACTGTGCCGCATATAAGGTCGATAATTGGAAGTATCAATTATAATTTCTTTGACTTTTAAATGAGATTAAAAATTGTTTGCTCTCATCTAGTAAAATCAAGTAAAATACGCTCGAATACATTTTTGCATACTTGATATTCTTTAAGTGTAATGAAATGAACAAATATTCAAGCAGGATCCTATGACATAAAACAATTGAGGCAGCATCTTAATTTCATTTACATATTTTTTGTGAATTTCCGTGACACAATGTATAAAACAATTCGCGATATTTTTAATTTGCGATGTGTTCAATTTGCAAATATTACCATAAATAAAATATCGCGAATATTTCGCAATCTATAGAAGTGTATAACAGTATTCATATAGGAGCATTTGTGTCAAGCATTTATCTATTAATTTCTGTAACTGAACCATTTTTGTATTTGATTTTATGCGACTTCAAGAAAATGTTATTGCCATGATATCAACATAATAATCTGAGTGACATAACAGGCTGTGATACACCAAATAAATGACACGATGCTTTTTAAGATGCCTGTTTGTGTCCGTAAATATTTTCTGTATCTTTAATCTGATCCAAATCAACACAGTGGTGCTTGGGAAGAAAATAAGTGTTTTAAATGCTAGTTTAATAGAAATATAAATAGTTTTTAAATGATTTTTATGTTTAACGTCACGTTTTTTTGGAATAAACAAATTAATAAATGATTAATAATTATGACAAACTTGAATGAAATTTAGAACAATGTGCACGACAATGCAAATTCTAAATTAGCATTCATTTATTATTTACTTATAAATAATTCATATCGTCTTATTCATTACCTGATCGGTATATATTGAACACTTGAGAAGTGTCAGTGAAATATTTAACAACCTGAACTGTCTGTGAATGCCGGGAAAAATTACTTGTCTCCACTTTGTCTGCTCCATTTGCTATAATACCTGAAATATAAAACATTATGGAGTAATGATTATAATCATTAAGTCACTACTTGTCGCTGTTTAAAGCAGTACGTCTATACTTTTAGTATATTATTCAAACATTAAAACAGAACATCTAGATATCTAGTGTATAATTAAATCACTACTCGTCGCCAATTAAAGGATACTAATATAATATATATTATTAAATCATTACTTGTCGGCATTTAAAGGATGCTTATATAAAATATATCATTAAATCATTACTTGTCGGCATTTAAAGTAGCACGCCTACAAATACATCCTCGGTAACCCAAGCTATTTACCGTATACATGTATTAAATATAGTATATAAGGAATGTCTACCATAGGTTCTGACGATTCTACATATCAAGAATATCAATAAATCATTACTTGTCGCCATTTAAAGCAGCAAGCCTATATATTACATATATATTTATATCATAAAATTACTACTCGTTGCCATAACGAGCAGCACGCCTAAATTTCTAGTACTTCATTAAATCACTACTTGTCGGCATTTAAAGCAGCACGCCTACATATCTAGTACACGTATATTAGTAAATCATTACTCGTCGCCTTTTAAAACGCTACACTACATATCTAGTATATTAGTAAATCATTACTCATCGCTATTTAGAAACAACACACAACATATCTAGTATATCATTAAATCATTACTCGTTGCCATTTAAAACGCCACACTACATATCTTGTATATTAGTAAATCATGACTCGTCGCCATTTAGAAACATCACACAACATACGTAGTATATCAATATATCATTACTCGTCGCCATTTAAAACGCTACACTACATATCTAGTATATTAGTAAATCATTACTCGTTGCCATTTAAAACGCTACACTACATATCTAGTATATTAGTAAATCATTGCTAGTCGCCATTTAAAACGCTACACTACATATCTAGTATATCAGTAAATCATTACTCGTCGCCATTTAAAACGCTACACTACATATCTAGTATATTAGTAAATCATTACTCGTCGCCCTTTAAAACGCTACACTACATATCTAGTATATTAGTAAATCATTGCTCGTCGCCCTTTAAAACGCTACACTACATATCTAGTATATTAGTAAATCATTACTCGTCGCCCTTTAAAACGCTACACTACATATCTAGTATATTAGTAAATCATTGCTCGTCGCCCTTTAAAACGCTACACTACATATCTAGTATATTAGTAAATCATTGCTAGTCGCCATTTAAAACGCTACACTACATATCTAGTATATTAGTAAATCATTGCTCGTCGCCATTTAAAACGCTACACTACATATCTAGTATATTAGTTAATCATTGCTCGTCGCCATTTAAAACGCTACACTACATATCTAGTATATTAGTAAAACATTGCTCGTCGTCATTTAAAACGCTACACTACATATCTAGTATATTAGTAAAACATTACTCGTCGCCATTTAAAACGCTACACTACATATCTAGTATATTAGTAAATCATTACTCGTCGCCTTTTAAAACGCTACACTACATATCTAGTATATTAGTAAATCATTGCTCGTCGCCATTTAAAACGCTACACTACATATCTAGTATATTAGTAAATCATTACTCGTCGCCATTTAAAACGCTACACTACATATCTAGTATATTAGTAAATCATTACTCATCGCTATTTAGAAACAACACACAACATATCTAGTATATCATTAAATCATTACTCGTTGCCATTTAAAACGCCACACTACATATCTAGTATATTAGTAAATCATGACTCATCGCTATTTAGAAACAACACACAACATATCTAGTATAGCATTTAATCATTACTCGTCGCCTTTAAAACACCACACTACATACCTAGTATATTAGTAAATCATTACTCATCGCTATTTAGAAACAACCCACAACATATCTAGTATATAATTAAATCATTACTCGTTGCCATTTAAAACGCCACACTACATATCTAGTATATTAGTAAATCATTGCTCGTCGCCATTTAGAAACAACACACAACATATCTAGTATATAATTAAATCATTACTCGTTGCCATTTAAAACACCACACTACATACCTAGTATATCATTATATCATTACTCGTCGCCATTTAAAACAGCACCAAAAAATCTAGCATATCATTAAATCATTACTCGTCGCCATTTAGAAACAACACACAACTTTCCTAGTATATCATTATATCATTACTCGTCGCCATTTAAAACAGCACCAAAAAATCTAGTATATCATTAAATCATTACTTGTCCCACACTACATATCCAGTATATTAGTAAATCATTACTAAACACCACACTACATACTTAGAATATCATTAAATAACTACTCGTCGCCATTTAAAACAGCACCAAAAAATCTAGCATATCATAAAAACATTACTTGTCGGCATTAAAAGTGGCACCCTCCGAAATTAGTAAAATACATCGTATCATAATAAGAAATAAAAAACATATATTCATTTGTCGAAACTGTAACAAAATATGCTCTTTTCAGAAAACATACTTTAGAATTACGGTTACTCTCACTTACCCAGAAGTAAGCCGTTGTCACTGAAAGCAAACTTTATATGCAGAAATATAACTAACAATATCCATGTTGAAAAATATATTCTTTTCATAGCTTCAAAATAAGTACACAATAATATATAAGTGTAATTATTTACTTCGAAAAGCAAAACACGGTCTTATGTCTTTTATCATTTCCACATTGAATTAAGCTCTAATTCTTTTTCGCAACATGTATTTAATGGTAATCAATATCAAATTAGCTTCTGAAATATCTGAATAAATGTATCTATTCTAATGTCTTGGAATGTCTGATTGAAAATAATAATGTATGAGTAAGCTTTCCTAAGACTTAATTAAATATATGAGATTGGACCTAAGAACCAACAAATAACAGATAATTACCTATTCGTTTTAAAACAAACGTACAGTAATGTGCATGAAACTTAAAGTATTTCTTTCAAAATTGCAGTTTATCATGCATTTTAATTTGATTGATTTTAACAAATTCAGAAATTTAAACGCCTAAACATGATATTCTCTGTTGGATTTATTACTCATTGGCGATTTGCCCCTTTACACAGAAAGATCCCGAGTATCTTTAACACAGAACACGTAATTACTTATAAAACAGTGAAAAAACTGGCGTCAAGTATTCTACTATTAAATGACTAATAAGCATCAAATTGAAATTTCCTGGCCATTTAAAAATCACTTAATATATAAACTAAGAAACGTAGGAAAGGAATTTTTGTAAGCTTTCCGCTTTCCACATAATTCTGATTGCATTTTATATATACATGTATATTGTTATTTTGTGTAGAAATAAATATTGTTTGAATGATGCATCTAAGTAAAATGTACCAAAGAATATGAGGGAAAAGTGACTTTGGTATCTTTTTATTTAAAGTGACTTTATGCTCGTTTGTCCGCTATCAAGTTGATTGGAAAAAACTAATAAGTTAATTCGAAAATAATTAATAATGAAAAAAATGTTATGATACGATATTAAAACTATTAAGATTATAAAATGAATGCCCAGTGTTAACGATATATTCTTAACTATAATTATAGCAAATTCAATTAGACACATGAAAAATTGATTACTTTTTTAAAGTGAGATCAAACAAATTGAACAAAATAATGGCAAAATGTCAAGTTCTTTTATTTTTACCTGTTCACTTGCCATTTGCACTTCGATGTGCATAATATCACTTAAGTGATGGAAAAAAACGAAAAATAATAGTGTCAGGCAAAAGGAAAATATAGTAAATGGAATCCTGTTAAGTTATTTTGATATTTATATATTATAATGTCACTTGTACTATTCTCTGAAGTATAATTTAAGCATTTGTTTAAAATATGTTACTTTAATCAGCATTCTAGGGTTCAAGTATTGTGTGTGCTTAATTGAATTTAGTATATCCATAAAACATTACTTTGATTGATTTTGCAATGCTAATATGACATTGGTAAATCAATTAGGTAAATATGTTATATTAATAGGTTATAGAATAAACAATTTTCTGCTTTCAATTTGTTTTTATATCAGATTATCTATTTACTCAATTGTAATAACAGTTTCAATATTTAGTAAATTGTTATTACATCTCTAGTTAGTCGTACTAATTGCAAATTAAATATGACTTAAGCTGACACTAGTGGTAAAAAGGAAGTTGAACTTATGACCCGAGATTAGCAGATTCTATCAAATCGGTTTTATCTATCTTTCATACATGTCCTCTCCTGCTGTTTCTCTCGTACCTTATTTCAAACCATTTTGTATCAAATTATATTATTCGATTTTTGATATTACGCTGCGATTTTAATTGACAATTAAACAAGAGATTCTTTTGGCAATTGTAATACATGTACAATAAACACAATAAAGCTACTCTCCAAAGGATTGTAAGACACTGTTTAGCACTCAGCTGTTAATACACAATGAAATACAGCAGTGGTTTTGTTGGGTAATTGTCTGCCTCTCAGCTCAGACATCATGGGTTCGAATCAAAACTTGGTCACAATCATGTTTCTTCGTACCAACAATCGGACCCGAGAGTGATCGAGGCAAGTTTAAAGCTCTGGTGTTCACAGAATTAACATAAATATATTTATTAAACTTAACAGCACATATCAAAGCGACTACAACGAATATTAATTCCAGAGTATTTTATTGTTTATATGTAGTCAATCAATTAGTTGAATTGATTGTTTACAGTATTTTTGACGTGTTACAACAAAACTACGCAGTTTAGCTAACATATTTGTATGATATCATCAGCAATATTAATCATTACAAATGATATTTTATGCATAGAAATATGTTCAATAACAAAGAATGCTTCTGATGCAGTCTAGTCGAAATATGTATGTGACCGGGTATTAATTGATATAATGATACAACTTCCATTAAAAGTAATTAGTGAGATTAGATTCTCAATCAAACGGTGGTACATGGACATTATTCATAACCATTTAACTGAATCTATGTAAATGCAATGTGAAATGATTAATGGAATACACTTTGTCTGTCGAGTTAGACATTCTATTGACATTTTGCAAGAGGCTTTAAAAATCTGCCTTAATGTACGAAAAAGAAAATTTCCAATAAAGCCTAATAGTGGAAAAAAACAATAAGCTCAGTACAAATCAGTTGATTATACCTATTTACGAAATAAGATAAAAAAAACAATAGGAAATGCGTCATTTAAAACATTGAATTCTATATTCTTCATTTGTAATTTTTTGCCTTTTTTAAATAGCTTCCCTTCCTCAAGATTAAGATGTGCACGTTGTTTATAACCCGAAATGAAAATAATATGTCTAACAAGATGACTTTATGCTATAAAATAGTATCACACCTGTCTTACTTACCAACAATTACTGAGTCCTCACTAGAAGTTAATATTTTCCCCAGGGTTATCAGTATTAAGATCCATGTTGAAAAATATATTCCATGCATTGCATCAAAACAATAACATATTATTAATAAAAAGGTGTAAAGTGTATTTCCTATTAAAACATAACACGATTTTGTTTTCTTTCTATCAAATTTGAATGATGTAAACATTCATTTTCTCTACATTTCATTGATAATCAATAGTAAACTAGCTTCTTGCAAAATTTGAATTACGTCCACGATCTGTTGCGGAGTGTCTAATTGAAAGTGATGATTTTAGCATAAGTGTAGTAATTTAATCCTGATATAAATCATAGAAAATATTCATGACCTGAAAATTCGATGTTATTATGACTAAACCATGGAATAATTTCAAATGAATTTATACTATTTTCAACAACCAATTGTTCAACCATATTTACGGAGTTAACCATCAATGATCGTTCAAACAATAGTTCCAATTTCATTAATGAATTTATGCGCATCAAGAATTCATTAACGTTATAGAAATTTATTTCGATTCACCCATGCTTTCAGTCTTTCTGATGTTGATTGAGCTGATTACAACAAGCGAACAGAAAGTTTAACTCATGCTGACCAATTATATGAGGGCGATGCTTTCAGATAGATACTGCTTTAAAGACATGCATTAAAAGTTTGATTTGAGATAAAATCCAAACACTCATACATAACGTACACAAAATTTTGAAAGTTGATATCAATAAGAGAGAACAAAATTCACCAGACAGTCGGCAAATGTGGCATTAATATAAACTGGCGAACTCACCAAATACGATTCTTGAGAAGAAATCAGACAAAATATTTAAATGATTGAAACACACCCGTTCAACAATAAAACCCAAATGGAAATAATGAATAAATAAAACAAACCAAAAGAACATTTTAATGATGAACATTTTCTTATTTTTATTTTTTTTCCTTTTAGTTAACGTTTAATTCGTATTTGTAATAGAATGTGCTTTCCGCCGAGAAGTAGGCTAAATGGAATGTCCGTTTGTATAAAGATGCCATTACGTATGTATCACATAATAAATCAAGTGTGGAGCAAAGTTACTTTATGTAGACACCAGGTAATATTTACTGACAAAGAAAACTTGACAATGTTATCAACATACACACCAGGCACTATTGATAAAAAAGAAAACATGACATGGGTGATAAATACCATTAGCAAGGTTGGTATTTAATTACAATTTGTTAAGTGTTTTACTCGTTAATTTATTAATAAATGATTATGATACAAATGATATCTTTAAAAACTACGTTCAGATTCAGATTTTATTTTTCAATATATGCAAAAGTCCCACAATAGCGGGAAACATAAGCAAATTGTGACATACATAAATGCATACATACAAACATAGAATCACATAACATAATGTAGTAGAAAACGGATATTGAGATTTCCAATAACAGAGCCTAACACATTCATATTTATTTAAACCATACAATTCAGCTGGGTATATATATGTAAGTGAAAAGAGTAATTATTACAAAATTCAATCATCAAAGACACACAAAAAGAAAAAAGGTCATAAGTTATCTTTCGCATATAGTAATTTAAGACATGATTTAAAATTGTATAGTAAAACACATCAAGTTCTAATAAAATGTTGCATTATTTTCATACAAAAAATACTAAGATTCTTTAGTTTATTTGTATTTTCCGATGTGACCAGGCTTACAAATTTAAACATACTTGGCCTATTTATGTAAAAATTATCTATGTATATTTTTCTATAATTTTCAAATTCTGGACATACAAAAAGATAATGAAATTCATCGCCAATATCGTTACATGTATTACATTTACGGTCTTGAATAGGTATATTCTGCCATCGTCCTATTTCAATTGGAAGGCGATGATTTCTTGTCAAAAATAGTAATAATTTATTAGCTAAATTGCTTGGTAGTTTATCTATGTAACAGCTTCTAGAAAAATCCTTTTTGATATATTTGTAAACGTTTGTATCAGAAGTGTTATTTAGTTCAGAACGCCAATTTTGCGAGTAAATATCTTTTAACTTTTGAAATGTTGTTTTTATCAACCACTTACTATTGCTAAAACTTTCTATGTACCAAATCCCAGAAAAACCAGTTTCACATAAATATTGTTTTACATTTTCTATCCACAGTGATTTAACTTTATTATCTATATGTAATTTACGTAAGAAAATATATACCTTTGAAGATAATTTTGTTGGTTCATCACTATTGATATTTTCAATAAGTCTTGCCCAAAATGTAATTACTCTGTGTTTGATATGCACACTGAGTGGTAGGACACCTGTTTCACCATATATCATATAAGACGGGGTTGACTTTTTAAATTTAAATATATATTTGAGAAATTTCAGCTGAATTCTCTCTAAAACATTAACATTTCCATATCCCCAAATTTCGCTTCCGTACAGTAAAATAGGCTTGATAGTTTTTTCAAATAATTCAATTTGTAGGTCAAATGGTAAAGCCAAAGTTTTAATTTTCCTCAGTAATGCAAATAGTGCTTTATTAGCTTGTTCAGCTATTTGTATTTTAGATTTATAAAACGAACCACTTTTATTGAAATATATCCCTAAATATTTATATTCATTTACAATTTCCAAGACATGTTGCCCAATTTTAAAAACATTATTAATGTTTGGACGCCCTTTACTAAATATCATAACTTTGGTTTTATTTACATTAATATTTAATTTCCACGTTTCACAATATAATTTAAACTGATCTAAAGCCTTTTGAAGATCAATTTCATTTTCACTGAAGATCACTGTATCGTCGGCATAAAGCAAAATAAAAAGTTTAAGATAGACATGTACGCCTTCAATAATTGTATCTCTTGAAACTCCGTTAATATCGTTGCTTTGTAAAAAGTATTCCAAGTCATTCAAAAATATAGAAAATAAAAATGGCGATAAATTTTCCCCTTGTCGTACCCCAATTAAACAATCGAAAAAGGGGGTGCTTCCTTCATTTGTGCTTACTCGAGACTTAATATTTTCATACAAACTTTTTATAACGTTAAAGCATTTTCCATTAATATTTTCTTGTCTTAATTTTTGCCATAGTCCTATTCTCCATACAGAGTCAAATGCTTGCTTAAAGTCTACAAAACAACAAAAAAGTTTTCGTCTGCTTGACTGGACAATATCGATTAAGGACTTTAGAATGAATATATTATCAACTGTCGAATGTTTCTTACGAAAACCAGCTTGTGTCTCATGTATAAGATTTGAGTCATTTGCAAATTTATTTAACCTATTATTTATTATGCTTGTAAAAAGTTTTCCGAGACAACTCAAAAGAGATATGGGACGATAATTTTCTGGTAATTTTGGATTTCCTTTGTTTTTGTATATGGGTTTTATAGTTCCTATTGTCCAGCTTTCTGGAATTACTCCTTTGTCAAAAACAATATTGAATAATTTCTTATATATACTTAACATTAAGTTAATTGAATTTTTTATTTGTTCATTAACAATTTCATCTACACCTGGTGATTTATTTGTTTTTAGATTTTTAACATTATCTAATATTTCCTTTTCTGTAATTGGGCCATTTATGTCCTCATTTTCAGTAAAAGAGTTTCTTATACCGTTATATTGATACTCTTCATTTGAGTTTACATCTTCATTCAATGTTTTAAAATACTCGTAAAAACTATCTAATGAAGCCATGTTTTCTTGTTTAGTGTTTTTTCCATTAATAGTTTGCCAGTATTGTTTTGGATCAGCGTGTTTTAACATACGTAATTTTTCAATTTTTCTCTCATTAAAATCATTATTCGCTTGGCGTAAAGTGTTTTTATACTGTTTACTAATTGACCTTAATAATTCTTTGAAATAGGGGGTTTTATATTTGTTGTAAGCTTTTCTAGTTTTGTGATATTTATCACGCATATTTTTACATGAATTGTCAAACCATGGGAAATAATTTTTTATATTAACATTTTTGTTTTGATTTTTCTGAGTTATCTCTCCAAATGACTGTTTAGAACAATTAGTAAACAGAGTGGAAATGTCAGAAACTATTTCATCTAAGTCGTTCTGTACAACTATGCTTTTTTCTAATACTTTATCAAGCATTAATTCAATTTCAGAGATTTTAGATAGGTCAAGATTTTCGGAGAATGTATGGGCATTCTTGTTATCCCATAATTTAGTTTTAAGAGTTAATGGTTCAAACATTATTTCATCAGGAATACAAAAATTGTTTTTAGGCCTGATGCTTATCACTGCTTCTAAGCCGGAATGAACATCAGAGTATAAGCTACAGAAATCATGTACTTTAAAATTTAAAACATTCTCAAAAACAAATGATGATGATATAAAATAATCAACAGTACTCGAATTCTTACATGTTAATTTTGGATTATAACAATCATCCCCAACTCTACCATTCCATATAAACATATTGTTATTTTTACATAGTTCAATCAACTGATTGCCATAATGATTTACAGTATTATCTATACATATTCTATTTACAGGTACATCAAATAGCTCTAGATGCCGTAATAAGCCCTGTTTGATACATGTTATGTTACACTGTCCACTCTTTGTACAATTCAGGAAGACCTATTTGAGTCTGCAAGAACAATTGATTGGTATTTTGATAACTTTCTTAAGGTGCCAAGGTGAAAATGAAATGATTGTCTATGTACGGAATATTGTGTTGTATACGGAAAATTTCGAAAGAAACAATATGTTGGGGCTACAGGAAAAAGCAACGTCGCTCTATATCTGTCCGTTAATTGTAATTAAGAAATTTATAGACAAGGCGTTTTTATGATGCAGGTCTGTGAGAAAATTATATGGGGCATATTGATTTACTATTTTGTTTCAATCCACATTAAACGTAATTAGGGGAATGGATATATTTAACAAAATTTCATTAAAAATATTCAGAAGTTTCAGAGGGTATTCGCGCAGGATTGTGAAATCAACAATAATCGAAAGGTGGAATTCTCAAAACTTTTGACACTTGGTGCCTTATGAATACAAACAATTCTAAATTGAGCCAAAATATTTTTTTTCTTCGTGTTTTAACCCGTTTTCGGTTAGCATTTTTGTTTCGCATTCTTGTTGTTCAATTGCTAACATTAGCACGATTATTCGATTGAACACATTAACATGTATTTTGCTGATCTTAATTTTAACAGATCAAATTTGACAATAACTGTTTAATGGTGATTTCCTTAGTATCCTATATATGCATTACTACGACAACAAAATAGGCTATGAACAACAGAGTGTCCTGTGTTATATTTTCTATTAGTAACTTCTTAAATATTATTAGAAATATTTGATTAATATGGCTGGGAAAAAATCGTACCAACAAGTGAATATTCGAACATGAAAGCAAATTTCCTCTTAGAGTTATAGGTAATAACATCCATTTTGAAAAATATATTTCTTTC